TGTGGACGGGAAGGGCCTTCTCCGCCTTCTTGGCCGTGTGTTCTGTTGTTGCTCAGCTCTCTTGTTGGCAAAGCGTTCGTTGATTTTGCTTATATTCATCCCTTGGGACAGGGCTTAGTCGTTAAAGGTGAATTATTGTGGATTGGAAGACTGAGAGTAATGTCCCACTCAAAAAGGTCCCTTAGCTTTCACAGGACAGCCACTGCCCCTCCCTGTGGACGCTGCCCCAGGAGAATAGTTGACACATCCCCTCTCTTCATTTATTAATTGCAACCTCTAAAGGCTGTTTGTACCAAAAGGGAAAAAAAGTATGGTTCTATTAGGACATATTAAAACTCAAATATTATTTAGAGTTTTAAAAGGGAGAAATTGTGTCTCCTGCCCCAGGACGAGAGGATCTTGAACACTGTGCCAAAGTGAAAGAAGCCAGGGCCAAAAGGACACAGGCTGCAGGATTCCATTGGCAGGTGCAGTGCAGTCCCATTTGTAGATTAGGAAGTAGCGTGGAAGTTAAGGAGGGGCGTGGGGAGAGCGGGGAGGGATTGGTCAGTGTACGGTCTTGATGCTCAGAGGAGAAGGCTTTGTCTCGGCGCAGTGAACACACTCAGCGCCACAGAACTGTACCCTTGAAAATGGCAAAGGTGGTGGGTTTTATTGTTTCTCACCATTGTAAGTGCATGAGCCCAGCGCAGCAAAGAGGCCTCAGTGCCGTGGTAGTGCATTGGCGGCTCAGAAGCTGAACGGCGCTATCCTGTGACTCAGCAGATCTCCCTCTAGGTGTTTTACCTAAGAGGATTCAAAGGCCGGGATTCAAACAAAAGCCTGTCTGTGGATGGTTGGTGCACCGCTGTTGACAAGAGCTAAAAGGTGACCCTGTGCCAAGTGTCTATCATCTGATGAACGGGAAGAGTGTGCTCCATCCATGTGGTGCAGTATTGCTGGGGGATGGTCTGTATGTCAAATTGCTCTGATTGGTCAATAAATAAAACACTGATTGGCCAGTGGCCAGGCAGGAAGTGTAGGCGGGACCAACAGAGAGGAGAAAAGAAAGAACAGGAAGGCAGAAGGAGTCACTGCCAGCTGCCACCATGGCAAGCCGCGTGTGAAGATGCTTGGTAAGCCACCAGCCACGTGGCAAGGTATAGATTTATGGAAATGGATTAATTTAAGCTGTAAGAACAGTTAGCAAGAAGCCTGCCACGGCCATACAGTTTGTAAGCAATATAAGTCTCTGTGTTTACTTGGTTGGGTCTGAGCGGCTGTGGGACTGGCGAGTGAGAGAGATTTGTCCTGACTGTGGGCAAGGCAGGAAAACTCTACCTACACAATATTATCTAGCCGAGGGAATGAGTGGGGGCTGAGCCTTGTTAGAACACTCGGTGGAACTTGAAAAATGTTTGCCAAGTAAGGGAAGCAGACACCAGCGGATGGTTCTGGTTTCATTTGTGGGAAATGTCTGAAGGAAGGACAGAAAGAAGTTCACTGGCCACTGATGGCGGGGGCCAAACGAGAGCCCATACAGAATGTGGTTTAATGGATATGGGTTCCCTTGAAGATGATGGAGTGTTCTAGAATTAGATAGTGACAATGGTCCCATAAGAAAATGAATTCGGTGAACGCTGTCACATTGTATAATTTAAGGAAATGATGATTCTTATGTCCTATGGATGTTACCTCAGAAAAGGCGAGGGAGCCCTGGCTTGTAGTCCAGCCTCCATTTGTTCTTAGCTGGGAAGATGCACACTCGGGTGTTGAACACATTTCCTATAGGACTATGGATGCCTTTCCAGGGGGACCAGGACTGTTCTCAGAGAAGGGGAAAGACGATGCTTGGACATGACAGTCTCATTGAAGACGTGTAGTGGGAATTGGCCCCGCCCATGACCTTGGGCTATCTGGCCTGATAGAGGCGGTGCTTCTTACCAGCCTATGTGACCACTTAAAGGGGAGGAGAAAGGGGGTACTGTGCGCTTAGGTGGTGAAGACCGCTCTTGGGTGGTAAAGACCAGATCAGGCGACATGAAGCAGTCTGTGATCAGTCCCCAGCTTTCCAAGGACTCTGCAACTGGATTTACCTTGTCCTGGATCAGTGAGTCTGTTTCCCTCATAGAACCCCTAACATGTAGACCACCGAGGCTCTCTTTACAGAGAAGGACCAGGGCAGCTGGGCCAGGTGCACGCCGACGTCCTGAACTCATCACACATTTGTTTCCTTAGGCTCAGAGGGCTGGCTGCCGATAGACGGCCACATCCACATAAGCGGTACCTGGAAGATGAAGCAGGCATCTCTGGTGTCTGGTTTTAAAAGCAAGAAGGTGCTATGACAGAGCCTTTTGTCAGAACTGGGTCACCTGACTGTCCCTAAATCCAGTATGCCTAAGATTCTCTCAGACCCACCGTTCTCAGCAGAACGAATGTTTGGCGTAGGGCTACAGTCTTAAAGATGAGTCCTTCTAGGCTCCCTCGGCACTAACTAGTAACTCGTTACATTGCTAGAATGTCACTGCCTCCGGTTTTCTAGTAGATGTGCGTGGGGGACAGAGATTTGACATCCCACTGGCCTTTCAACAGCAGCTTTCAGCCGTCCCCAGAGGACACACAGCACTGCCGGGTGCCGGGGACTTCCCTATGCAGGGCACGCTAGTAAGCCTGCATTCCTTTGGTGACTGTAAGCCTAGATAATTGAAGTTATGTTTATCACCAGAATGAAGTGTCACAGCAGAGGGCACCTAGGGTGCTTCGGCTCCTGAGAAGCAGCAGGTAGAAGACAGCCCGACTCAGTGTTCTTAGCCACCCACAACGACAGCCAGGGCCTTGTTGGGGATGGGCGTGGACAGAGAAGCCACAGCTGAGCAGGCAGTATCTCATGACCCAGCCAGGAGCCTGTGAGTGCTGGAAGACTTTTCTGCTAAGGAGAAGCTGGGATGGGACCTTTGCAGACATGACTTCGAGAGTGTTACGGTGAACCCGAGCCTAAGGATTTGCAAACGATACACAGTCGTCGTTAGAGCTGTAGGGTGTGTGGCCCGGGTGCGGCTGGCTCAGCCTCCCCAGGATTTCACAAAGTAGAGCCCCATGTGGGGCAAGCACGGCATGCTAGAGAAAGATAGAATATGTCTTAGATCTTTCAAGTATGTCTTTGCTATTTCAGTCAAAACAGTTGTCCTGCCACCGCCAGCGAGACGCCGGGTTTGTGTGAGTCACAAGGAAAGAAGCTGTCGAGTGGCATGTGTGTCTCAGAAGCTGTCTCCGTGTTTGAGTTTGAAACCTGTGCTCTTCATGTAGAAAGGCTTATTGGTGTCTCACGATCTTAGTGCATTGTGCATTTCTGCAACCAAACTCCTGAAATGATGGGTTATAAAGCAAGGCTTTGTTTTGGCAAATGGTCTCAGAGATTTATAGCTGAGGGACTGCATCTGGTGATGGCCTTTGCAGAATCACAAGGTGGCACCATGCATCCATCACATGGCAATAACGGGGGTGTGTGTGTACATGTATGTGTGTGTGCCCTCTGTGTCTGTCTTTTGGCCTCTGCCCCTCCCCTTATAAAGCCGCCAGTGTTCAGTCATATGCTTGATGACCTTATGTAATGCCAAGCATCCCCCTTAGGCCTCCACTCTAAATACCATAGACACTGGGCCTTGCCAGTGGGGATTAAATCTCAGTACTTGAACCCTCAGCCAATGCTCAAAGCACAGTGTATTGAGTCCAAAGCTAGGACAACTGACATGAATGTTGTTAATGGATATGCTGTTTAATTTACATCAGGACATTTGTACTCTCTGCACCTAGAAGCACATAGAAAAAAATGTAATTACATTTTGTGAGTGTGTGTGTGTGTGTGCGTGCGTGCGTGCGTGCGTGCGTGCGTGCGTGCGTGCGTGCGTGCGTGCGTGCGTGCGTGCGTGCGTGTGTGTGTG